TTTTTTTTTTTTTTTTTTTTTTTTTTTTTTTTTTTTTTTTTTTTTTTTTTTTTTTTAGTAACAGCTTCTAATCTATTCTTACTCCTTGGGAGAAACTATAGCTTTCTTATCTTTTAAAACATATACTTCACTATCAGTGAGGAAGTATCCAATGTGAACAAGCAATTCACAAAAGAGGGTAGCCAAATGATCTATAAACCAAGAAAAACGTGTTCAATGTCATTACTGCTCATGGGTTGCAAATTAAAACCAAAATGTCGTAGTACAACACACACCAGAATGGCTAAAACTAAAGAGATATAATTGAGAAATTGAAATGACGGACATACAATTGTTGATAATGGGACTGTAAATGTTTAAAACTTTGAAAATTATTTGGCAGTACTTATAAAGACAAACATGTAAACATACCCTGTGACAAAGTCAGTTCACTCCTTGGGGTATGTCCAGCAGAAATTATTGCTTAGGTCCACCAAAGAAATGTCCAGGTATAGTCACAGAAGCTTTAATCATAGTAACCCCCACACATGCCAAAGAAACAAAAGTACATTAATACTAGAATTGACACGTCTATTCAAACTGTAATAGTACATAGCAATGAAAATAATGAACTATTGATACATGAAACAATATGCACAGTTTCATAGACACGACACTGAGTGAAAAAACTTGATGTAAAATGTACCTGAAGAGTGTTTTCATTTATAGAAAGTTCAAAAACTGGCTAGAAAACAATCTAGAGTGGTAGAGGACCCAAGGGGTTTTAGATTTAGAGAGGGGACAGGTGTTAAGAGGGCACAAAAGGAGCCTAACTTTTACCTTAAGGAGCCATATTATCTACATATTATAACTTTGATTCCTCTTGTTTGTTTTATAGCTTATTAATTTGCTGTTATCCCACCACAGTATTAAAAATTTGAGTGGGAATAAGTATTGCTACGCTTTACCTACTTTTAAAAAATTTATCTTTATTGTGGAAAGTATTACAGATGTCCCCACTTTTCCCCCCACTGACCCCCTCCACCCTGCACGCCCCCACCCCAG